CATTTAAAGCCCAATGATCATTGATCAGGGACTGCTGGGTCCAGTTTCAACCGATCAACTCAAAAAGCTACAGACATTTCTCAGGATCGAGCCAGTGAGCTCTTTATTGTTAGGCGAGCAATTTATTGTTATGCAGCACTAAGTTAAACCCCTCAGCTACAGTAGGTTAACCTTAAAACGCCAAGTTGTACAATCAACTAAACTGAAATAAATAATTCATTACCTACTTTAAAAGTTTTTACATACTGCTGTACCAAGAAGGCCAACAGTAATATAAACTTAAATATTGTAGAAAATATGTCTTACAATTCTCTTAACCTTTCCAATCCTAAAAAATCAATAATCGAAAATATTTGTTATTTTCACAATATCATAAACTTCATATTTTAATTCGAAAATTTGCAGCCCATGCAAAATTTGCTGAATTCCTTCAATAAAACGTGGACAGAAGTGAAAGAAGTAAAAGGTTGAAGAAAGAGGTACCAGGTGTTGAAAGGGTGGGACTTTGATCAATGGCATTTCATTAGAAGGCCGCATGTGAGAAAAGAAACTGCAAGATGCCATTATTCATATTAATAAAACTGGTACAGTCTGGTGCAGAGCGTCAGCTGCGAGTACAGTCACTGCCTGGCTAAATTAAACCTCTTCTTGGCATATGGCGCACGCACTCACACACACGTACTTGTCATTGGATTTGTTGTGACAGTTGTTTCAACTTATTGTCTAGTTTATACTTTGATTGGTAAAACATGTTGTGACAAAATTCAAAATTGATATTGAATAGTGACAGTTTTTTTGGGTAAATGTTATTTTCAATTGCTTTTTTAGCATGTAAATAAAATATTTTTAGTGATATTATTTTGAAAAAGGTTTCTTTCTTTAAATTAAAAATTTCAAGTAAATATCTCAATAAAAACTTTTAATTTAGTATATAGGATAGGACTATCTTCGGGTTTGACTTAATAATTTCAGGCTGACGCTTTAATACTCTCCGAGTCAAGATTTTAATCGAGATTGAACCGAAAATTAACAATTTTTGTTGTTAGTGCCCACTTTACCAAATATTTGGGTATTTTTGGCCCAAGGTCAAATTAACCCGAGCAGCCCTTGTCCCACAGGTGAAACTTCCCCGCGATCGCGTCGAAACGTGAAAATCTTACACGATCATGAGGATGTCATCGTATTCGTAGTCACCCGCGATCGCAGAGAAATTGTAAACGTCTTTACCGATCATGGGGACATCCTCATCGCCACCCGTGATCCGACAAAATTTTAATTAGAACCATAAAAATGCATTTGTTGTTACAAAAAAATTGTTTCTGTGCTATACGGCAATAGGCCGCGATGGTAAATCCGGCAATGGGTGTCCACGCCAGTGTCATTTTTGATATAAAAACCACAAACGCTTGTCCGAACTATCAAAATATTTTGTTGATCTGCCGGGGATCGTATCCCCTCTCACGCTATAGACCAACACCATGGTAATACAGGCTGAAATAATAATAAATGTTACACTAAAACCTACAATGATTGCGAGATTTAGAAATTGGACCCGTACATCTACTGAACTAAAAATTTACCTCATTTAACCCTTCCTAAGCGGTGGCCGCAGGGCGAAGCCCTAACTACGCGATCCATAATTTTGTTGAGGTTAAAAAATTTATTTCAAAATGTTGATGTTTTTTCCACTTCTTAGAAAGCAAAAAACTATACTGTATATTTGAACGCCTTCAGTATAGTCTAAGCAATACAGTTGCTGTACCCGAATTGCCTAAGACGAATTGCAGGATCGCGTACAAGACCTTCGTAGTCAGTAATTATGTTAGATGCAAAAAAAATACTTGAAATACATACAAAAAATTAAAAATAAACAGTAAAGTTATAAATATAAAAATAACTATAACAAATTGAGTAATAAAAATAAAGGATTGAAAGTAAACTTAATTGGAGTAAGCCAAATCCCGCAAGTTGTGTCCCATGATCAAGTATGGCCGGCCTAGCCTGTAAAACAATGTTATCTGTGTTATTAAATAATAAACTTTACGTGTCAATATGTATTTATTGACGAAAACGCCAGTCAAATTTTTTACACCATAAATTTGGAGTTTGATTTTACAATAGGCATTGTATTGTGACCCGAAACTACAGGGTGTCCCGGAACTCTCTACCAATATTTTAGGGCATTGATCCTGGGTAAGAAACGTACCTAAATATCATATTTAAATTGTCCGGAAGTCCTTAGTTACTCACACAGCCGCCATTTTTTTTTTCAGTTATTAATTTTTTTCTAAAGAATGGTTAAACATACAAAAAGGAAACTTTGCATAAACATTTATTACAACTAGACTAAGCTACAGAAAAATTATGAAGATTTTTCAAATTCATAAAACAAAATGGCGGCCATTTAAAATTTTCTTTCTTAAATAACTCAAAAACCATTGATTTTACAAAAATTTTAAATGGCCGCAATTTTGTTTTATGAATTTGAATAATCGTGATAATTTTTTTGTAGCTTTGTCTCGTTGTCATAAATGTTTGTGCGAAGTTTCCATTTCGTATGTTTAACCATTCTTTAGAAAAAAATAATAACTGAAAAATACAAAATGGCGGCTGTGTGAGTAACTAAGGACTTCAGGACAGTTTAAATATGATATTTAGGTACGTTTCTTACCCAGGAGCAATGCCCTAAAATATTGGTAGAGAGTTCCGGGACACCCTGTATATTAATCCTCAGACTATTATTGTAAGACTGAAGATGGACAATGATATTTAACGTACTGTATCATAATATATTGTTAAAATGCATATTAAATCCTATGTTTAGTTTGGGATAATCAGTAATTATGCTTGTTTACTATTAAACACTTTCTATTAGTACTTTACGTATTGATATAATAAATAAATATTTAAGAGATTGCAAATAGTAACATTAAAAGCGTAAATATACCGAGTAGTGGACAGTGGTGGAAAATTTCTTAAAATCAGTGTTTTTATTTTGTACCTAATATCACAATATGCTGATTCCTGCATTGGTATCCGACACGTAGGGGCATTTAAACTATTTGTTATTATATATTTATTTACCATAAATTATTTTTGTATTCTGTTGGCCTGTGTTCACGCTAGTGGAATTTTCTACGTTTTTTGCAAAGGGATAGTTCATCCCATAGCTTTTATTACTGCCTAATGTTTACATTTTGTTGGATAGTATCAATTGATAAGCTCTAAAGGCATTTGTATCCACAATCAGCCCAGCTAGAATCGAACTAGCGAACTCCAGATTGTTGAGCACTATAACCACTCATTTATCATATGACTTTGATTTCAAAAGTCATGCATATTATAATATAACATTCTTATATCAATATTCCGTCATTCTTGAGTGGCATGTTCGTTAACTACCCCCCACCCCCCCTTATACACAGGTGTGCTACAAGATGGAGGGGAGGTTAGCAGTTATCCTAACATCGAGACGTCATCAGACCCAGCTGTGTCCCCCCCCCAACCCCCTCTGCAAATTCAGGCTACAAATTAAGACAAATTTCCATCTTTGCACTTTGTCTTAACGATTGATCACTGCTATTTATTATGCGATTGGTAGAAAACAGGTGATGTTTGAAAGAATGTGTCTGTAGCAGCAAAGGCACTTTGCACTCGCGTTACAATTTTTTTTACTTCTGTTACTATAAAGCATCTCTATATTAATAGGCAAGCATGTTTCTTTAAAACATTTTTTCTCAGCTAGTGTGCATCGTAGGAAAAATTTACGCATACGGTTAGAAAGATATTTTCCTGCAGATGTGCATAATCCCTTTATAAATTGAAATAGGATAAAAAATAAGCACAAAAATGAATTTTAAATATAAAAAATTACAATGGGTTTTATGGGTTGCCATGCTGGCGACGAAATAACAATGAATAAGTTAATATAAACAGAATTCAAAACAAATGGAAGAAATTCCAATCACATGATTTATTGCGTGGGGTGAAAATATAGAAGTTTTTATAATACATATTTTTGTGGACGATCTCTATTGTAGTCGGGTCTATGCTAGGTTTCATTGTGTTTCTAAAAATAATCTAAAAATCCCTGAAAATAGGTTTTATAACCTCCATAGTCGATGCATTGTGAACGATTGGAACTTTGTAAACGAGATTTCCAGAATTAATTTAGAAATCGTCATAATGAAAGCTGTTATTTGCATCATTTTAACAGAACTTTATAGTTCCGTTGGTTATTTGTAAAATTATTTGCTTCATGATTATTACTGTGAAAAGCTTGGTCCATCAACTATTTTCATACTACTAACTAAAACAAACATATTTTCTGAATGTCAACTGTCGGTTTGGGGATAGCCCTTTAAGATCCAACGATCACTTAAAAAAAGACCTGGAAGCACAAAACATACGCCAAATAACACTTGTAATAATATATTTACACTTATACTGTTTACTAACAAGACGATAAATACATATAAAAGATGTATTTTATATGTATTTACTGTCTTGTCAATAAACAGTATAAGTGTAAATATATTATTACAAGTGTTATTTGACGTATATTTTGTGCTCCCGGGTAATTTAATAACACGCACGATGTTGTGAGAGAAGTTATTTAAAAAAACGAATGAAGAATAAATTGATCTTAAAATAAAACTTAATTTATAAACTGCTATTTAAACAAATTGAGGGATGTTATTTCATTACAAAGTATGTAACATGGGGCAAGTTCTACAGGACATTTTCCGTTAATTTAACAATACTATGTTTATTCATGTTGAAATATAATCCACAAAACCTATTGAGGATTAGGTTAGGTTAGGTCAAGATCAAGAAATACAAATACCATGACAGTGAATTAACTGACAGGTCTGTGAGCCTAAGAACTACTCGAATATACAGTCATATTATCAACAAACAACTTACACCCCTGCCACTTGTTTAACACTTTATATAGTATGTCAATTGTACTGTGAATACAGTATCAAGGTGGCACTGACCTCTCGGCTCTCCGTTTCTCAGGATGGCTGTGGCTGTCTGTGTGATGGAAGATCTCTCCAGGTTCGCTAGGCGAGAAGGCAGGATCCAGAACACTGTGTTCATGTTGTCTGATGTACTGAGCAATCGTCTAAAACATTGTTAGAACACTTTGTCTCTAATACCTATTACAATAATCTGGGTTCATATCACACCTTTGCTAACCTTAACGTAACGTTTGATACAATTAGTTACTCTTACTAACTTTAAATTTTCTGTAAAAATGTTAACATTTTGTTCTTCCACTACTTTTGGTAGCTTTTTACAGTGTCCTTATCTTGGCTTAACTTCCTTCGTCTTTTCACAGAATTACTATGCAAATAGTTATGCAAAACTGGACGTACCTCAAGCACATTACATCTTGTTATAATTTTAGTAGAAAATTTCCCAGGCAAAGAACCATTCTCGTCACTATGATGGATTACAAAACCGAATAAAAAAGTTTTACAAGGAACAAAAGTAAGGATAAGTTTCTGTTAAACGCGTAAGATATATTTACTGTCTAAAATCAAAGGTTTTTACCATCCCATCCTCGTCGCTATTGTTAAATAGAGAGCAACTAAATTCAGAATTAAAGGCAATCATAATTTAATTCTGATTCAAAACTTTAACAAAAACAATCCACTGTAAAACTAAAATGAAAATAAAATTAAAGTCCTTTATTTCCTTATCCTTTATTAAAACTACTGTGTAACCAGCGAACACATAAGAAAATAGAACCGCTACTCGGAGCGCAGGAGCGTGGCAGTCTTACTAGCCGGCGAAACGGACAAAGATGGCGGCGCTAGCCTACAAGTTCTCGCAGCTAGTCTGGGCGCGCGGACCCTTGTGTACTAACCGTCCTCCACGCCAAAGCCATGAAGACAGCAGTGAGGCGCTGAACAACCCCAGTGTGCCGTGTGGGCCGAATGTTTTTGGAAATGTGCAATAAACACTCCCCTCTACACCCCCTGCCCTAGCGCGGCCGCGCGCCCAGCCTAGCTGCGAGAACTGTACCTGTCGGGGAAATAAATATGTGCACTCGAGTTTGAGCCTAAATATCTCAGAGATGAATAATCCAATTTTGTTGAAACAAAAATTAAATATAAGCTGGTTTAAATACATTTTACGTGGTAGCAATAAAAAAATCCGTTTACCAGAAAAATTTATATTGTTGAAAGATCCTAAAAAGTACCGGGTTTTAAGAAACTCTGCACTAAAACTGAAGTTTAAAATTTAATTGTAAACAAACCACTGAGCCAATCGGCCTGCCAGTTGCGGGAGAAATTTTTGTTTACAAATATATATCTGTTTAAAAAACACCTTTGTTCGCATTATTAATCTGTCATATTGGTGCGAGTATTGGTGTTATTTCTTGTGTCACGGCAAACGCGATGATATTTTGAACGAAATGTTCAGTGTCTTATTAACGATGTTAGCATACGTTTTAAAAATAAACATTAGCATAAAAACTATCGTGAGTAAAAATTTTAAAATGCATGGAACTGTTAACAATAAATCTGCCAATAAGCCATACAAATTTCAGAAAGATTGGCTTAGTGGTTTGTTTACAATTAAGTTTTAAACTTCAGTGTTAGTGCAGAGTTTCTTAAAAACCGGTACTTTTTAAAATCTTTCAACTATAAATGTTCTGGTAAACGTAATTTTTTTTTTTAATTGATACCACGTAAAATGTATTTAAACCAGTTTATATTTAATTTTTGTCTCAACAAAATCGGATAATTAATCTCAAGAGATATTTAGGCTCAAACTCAAGCACATATTTATTTCCCCGACTGTAGTCCTGGCGTGTGCAGCGCGTTAGTCGTCTGCTATGCATACCAACTTTGTATGGTCGCCATTTCATTGAAAAGTATTAAAGTATTGATGAGAATAGTGTAGATATAAAAGTTAATTATATTAGTGTAGAGAACAATGTAATTGAGGACTTGACGAACAAAGTACATGGACAATGTGTAGGAGTAAATTTGTTTCCGAATAGTACATATTCCTCAAGATATGAAACAATATGGACAAAAATCATTTTTGTTTAGTACCTAAAAATTATTGCTCAAAAATATTTCAATGTTAGAGTTCGCTATTACTGTAAAATAAGTAACGAAAGTCTTTACAAAAATAAAATCAGGCAACATCTCAATAAAACTGTAATTTTTCTGGGACAATAAATTGAGTGTAATTTTACAAATATATTTGGGAAGTTTAATTTAACTTACAGAATTATCTTTAGTTTATCTTGGATGATATTAAAAGCTAATTAGTCCTTAAAAAGTTGTGCTAAACGGTTGAAAATTCTACATAGACAATATATTTGAAAATTTCTTTAATATATACAATATTACAGTACAACAGTATAAAACATTAAAACACTGCACTCTAAATGTATAGACGACGGCCCGGCGACGCAGCGGGCGTGGCGCGGAGCAGGGGCAATGGATCCCTTTTGTACCTGATTTTTTTAGAAAACCGAACATGATAAAAATATTTGGTGAATCGGATAGTTAAATTTGGCTCCGCTGACGAAATTTCTCTGACCAAAAAATAAAAAATTTCCTCGCAATACAACTTTTTCATGTCTGAATCTGAAAAATTAAACTACATAAGTATTAAACATATTTATAACTCAATTACTATCATAACTAATAATTTTATATTTACACCATCGTTTTCCTCAGTATCATATCTACAAGTGTGCAAAATTTCAGAATTTTTTGTCAACTATTAATGTTGTTTATGATCGTGTATTTGTCGCGGGGTTTTTAATGCGAACTGTGCTCGCGGGTCTTGGATTCAGGCTGTATGACGGACCAAGATGGCGGATTTGGCCACACTTTCAGTGCATTTGGTTAAACGCCGTGTCCTCTCTATTATTATTATTATGTGCTCGCTGTGTGTAACAATCTATTAAACACGTGATTAAAACAACGAAATTAATCAAAAACATATGATTTTAGTCAATTAATATAATTTAAGTTCCAAAATACAAATCAGCTGATTGTTGCATTATTGTCTGACTCACTACGCGTTCACTCCTGTGGCGACACGCTTCTTTAGACAGTGGCGTCCATTAATTAAAGGTGTTATTCGTGCTGTGTTTAAAACTACTCAAGTTTCAGTTTTGATATTTATTATGATAGTGTGTGTCCTGTGCGTGCGTTTTATTCAAAGAACAATTATTGCAGCAGTAAAGGATACAAAGGTTGGTTATGTATTCTTTAATATTTCATTTGATTTCCGATAGTTTTTACTTTTTATATTTCCATAGTCCGTATCATCACTAGCTAGACTATTCATCTAGTATTTCTTCTTGAATATGGAGGATACAGTAATAAAAATTAAAGATAAATCTTGTTGATTACAGTAAATTGTTTAGCAAAAATCATGTATATTTTTATTATAAAGGGAATAACAAACTATTCGTTCTATATCTTTGTATCTGACCCTCAAGAGTTAAAATATTTTTTTATATAAATTATCCCGTATGATTTCAGAATTTCTTTTGTTCTTAGACGATAAAAAATAAATATACCTGCTAAAAATAACTGTTACCGAATATTTTTAAGACAAAGCGTAACTATAAGTTTACCAGTTACCCACACAAAAAATGCTGCCAAAGTAAATTTAAATTCAGACCGTTGTACGTGTTATAATCAAGTGACCATTTCCACGATACAACTATCCTATATTTTTACGGGTTGAAATGTTTATTATCTACAAATCCTGTTTAGAATTAGGTTATTTCAGGTTGTGTTGGGTCAGGATAGTACTTGTTAAACTAATGTTATTTAAATCTAACTAATAGTATAAATTTGTAAGGTTTGTGTGTGTGAAAGTTTGTATGTTTGTTTGAAGTTGATTAACTACTGGTTGGATTAGGCTGAAATTTGGTATGGTGATAGCTAACATTCCCATACACATATTCTTATCTCAAAAATCCTTTCGGGCTTTACCCCAGTGGATCTGGAGTTTCTAATGTTAACCTTATGAGTATTCATATTTAAAGGGAATTAAAGAATTTAGTCAGCTGTTTCAACTAAAAAAGTTGGTTCCATGATATGGAAAAGCATTAAAAAGTTATAAAATTTACACACAGGGTGCAGCACTATATTTTTTTTGCATTTATGTAAACAGCTAATTTGAACTAAGCAGCAACGAACAACTGTGAGACGCAATGAGAACTGTCAAAGTAGGATTGTTTACAGTTATGTTTATGTTTTTAATGTCACGAATAATTTGTGATTTTTTTTAAAATTTGTAATGCTTTATTTTTCTTTATTGTTTAGGCGAAGAGGTAGAACATTATGGCTATGGTAGATGTGTAATACCATAGTAAATTTAAAGAAGCAAATTTTATCAAACTTTGTCCTCCCCCACTGCAAACGCAAAGCTTGAGTATAACTGCAATAAACAATTTAAACTTATATGCCAACCCCGTACGGAGGACGGGTACCCTACTCTGCTAGTGATATTATATAACAAAGTTATAAGGTTTACCAACAGGGTGGAGAACTATTAATATTTTTTGCTTTTGAAAACAGCTAATTTAAACCAACTAGCAACAAAAAGCTGTGATTCACAATGAGAACTTTACTTTTTTCTATTGTTTAGGTGCAGTGGTAGAACATTATGGTTGCCCTATGGTAGATGTGCTATACTATAGCATAGGCCTACCGTATAGTAAAAGAATCAAAATTTCTTAAACCGCGTCCTCTCCCATCGCAAACGCAAAGCACGAGTATAACTGCAATACGCATTTTATACACGCTAACACCGTACAGGACGGGTACCATGCTAGTATGGAATAACTATGACATTTTTCAGCAGATATTTTAGTAAAAGTCCAATCAGTCAAATGGGAATTCGCTTAGTCTGCAGGTTTTTTGCGGTGGGGGTATTTATGTATGATAGATTAACTATTCAATCAAACGATACATTGTCCGCTGATATTCTTATCAATTGACATGTGACTGACAGGTCAGTCAATTAACATTGACATCACGGCCTCCAGCAACGTTAATGTCGATATTCTAACAAACTAAACACGTTTTATCCGGAATGAAATTGTCGGAAAACTAATTATAAAATAACATTCGAACGAATACCGCCCAAAGCGGAGTGAATACTTTTGAAGTCTTTGTCACAAATGACAAATAGTTTTGACTATTTTAAATGAAAACGAACACAAAAACGAAATTAATAGATATCAAAGATAAAATATTCAATTAGAACAAAAGATTTAATTACTGCGCTTTGATGGATTTATTTTGCGTGTTATCGGTTATTGATTGCGTGATTTTATGATTACGTCCAAACAATACTAGGGTGGAACGCGGAGGTAGAAATTACAATTGTTTTTCACTTAGATAATGTGATGAACAAAGCTAAAACTCAATAGAACTTGGACTACTGTACAAACTAAAACCTGACATTACAGTACAGTCATCATTGGTACCAACCTCGGTAAAACAAGTTCCTCGATAAGACGAATTTAAAAATCCCCTTGAAACATAAGGGTCAAAAGGTAAATTCTAAAACACCTCTATACAACGTTTAGGCATAGAAAAATACTCCCTTAGTAGATTTCCCATCCTTATGGAACAGCTGAAGCCAATGTTACTGTTAGTTCTGTCCGGTGTACTGTAACTGTAGAGTCGTCTTTTGTTTACAATTTGTTTCTTGCTTTTCAGGGGGTGAAAATAGATTCTGTACATATTTTATGTTCGAGTTTTCGACCATGGGGCAAACTCTAGGAATGAATCAGTCATGTATATTTTACAGAGAATTAAAAAAAAAAAACCGTTAATACAAAGTTCAATCAGTTAATTGATCTTAATTAGTGACGAACTTTTTGTGGCCCAATCTAACGACAAAATCGGAAAAATTCAACGTACATTAAAAATATATTTTAAAAGACGAGCGTCAAATGGCCAACATCAGTCCACAGTGACAGCTGCTTGCTTTAATGAATTCCGGCGAAAAACTAACAAATTTGCATTTTGCTTTCAAGGGATAAGGCTGACATTAGTCGACGAGTTTGCATAATACGGTCTTACTGGAGCGTGATGGTGCTTGAAACGAAGGAATTCGGGGTCTTTGAAGGTGTAAGAAATACATTGGGAGATGTGCGAGTAAATAAAAATACCCGGCCACGCTCGAATCTAACGCGAGCATAGCTCAAGGGGATGCAGTTTCTTAACTGGGCTACCCTAATATCGATTGAAATATCTATTCTATTAGAAAACATTTTTCATAATCAGCAAGTTTGGTTGGATTAGGTTAGGTTAGGTTATAACAATATCATTTTATAATTGATATATTTGAAAATAACGATTATTAGTTGATATTTTTAATCGATATGAGGGTAGCCCAGTTAACAAAATTGTACCCATTTTTTCTGAAGGATAATACATTTAACTGATTCAGAAGTAAAATGCATATTGTTTCACTGATTAAGCGAAGTGGTGAGGTCCATTGTTAGCTTCGGGACATACTATTGACAAGTATCTCGGTTAATTTTCAACCGATTATTTTGGGTTTGTAAGGGCCTAACCTAGATAAAAGCATAATTATGAGTTTCAAATAGATAAAAACTCGGACAGAATGGATATAAATGCAATTTTGAAATCATGGGAAATGTCTGTGTGTAATTCCTCGATATCTGTAACAAGTGATTTTACCATCGAACAATCATGTGATAATTTCACCCATTACAACCAGCAGTAATTTAGCGGCTCTCAGATAAAACACACTATTCCCGTTAACACATAGTAAAGGTTGAGAAAACGAGTAGCGAAACCGATATGGTAAGCTTATAGATGCACATCGAGATCTGGATGAACGTCCGTTTGCTACCAATATTCAAACAGTCACCGTTCAAAGATTGAACTTTGTCACATAGTTTACTATCAACTCCGGCACAGATGAGGCCGGAAGGTAGTTATAAGCCCAAGTCGAGGGTTATGCAAATTTTGTAATCCGTGTAGAGGTGAGGGGAGGGGCAACACGGGACCGAGAGATAAGACAGGTCAGCTAACTTTAGCCCTAACATATTTCTACCTGTTTAAGCTACAAGACAAATTTCTGTGTCACCGCTGCAAATGGCATTGTCATCATTATAACTCTTGTAGGCACACAATTAGTATTGTAGTCAACACAGTTGTAGTTCGAAGTTCTACGATATTACACACTTTTATCCGTAAATTCTTTGGTCTATAACGTGGAAATATCAGTTGAATTAATTAAGTTATTGTTTTTATAGGGGAAAAATATTCCTCTCTGTTTGCGTAGGCAGTGTTTTCACGTAGGGGATTATTATTTCCAATTTATATTACATTTGGAACATAAATTATCAAGCGGACAGACGTATCAATTTACCGTACGCTGTTAGATAAAGAGGTTTACACGGCCAAGAAAAAAAGTAAAAATTTTCTTTGAATGTAGTTTAGTCTTTAGTAGTGGTACGTCAGAAGGCATACATAAAAGGGCCCTTGAGAACCACATATGGAGACTATAGTGTACAATCCAACTTTCCTAATCTTGAGGGCTACAGTGTGCATAGTCCAAACTGTTTCATCATGGAAATCACACTGGGTGAATTCTAACCTTTGTCTTCGTAGGGACTCTAACTATACCTGTTTACTGAGGCGCGCGTGAACTCCGAGCTCTCTCTGCAAGGCTGGCAGGTAGGCTCTCAGGAAGGGCAGCACGAAGGGTCTGAGAGGGAAGTTCGTCACGTCTTGTAGAGAATGATGGAATTCTTCCACGGTCAAGCCCGCGCCCTGCAACAAGAAACATCCGGAGATTAGTGATGTAATTAAGTCGAGTACAATGGTAAAATATAAACCCGTAACGAGGAGATACCAATGTGCAAGAGATTACACTGGTAACACTGGATAAGGGACTACCAATTGTGTTCTTTGTAACCAAAGGCACTACCATTTTTGCAGAAAAAGATTCTGGTTGTCTTATGAAATACAGTTGAAGCATTAACTACACAAGGACAAAAGCGTGAACAAATATAGAACACGAATATGAAGACTGCGAGGGCTAGTTACCACCCAGTCTGAATATATAGTAGTACAACACCTCAAAGTTTTTTGGACAACTGACGTTCTTCAGGGTATAAAATATTAGTAATTCGAAACACCTGCACAAAATAAATGTTCAGACAATTCTTTTACACATTGAACCATTGATACAACCGATTGAACGTTGACATGGACCAATACTTATGGATATGTGTAAAAAACGTAATTAGCTACCACCGTATTAGAAATTTGAAATACTCATTCACAAAACGTTGGGACAACCGAACGATGGACAAATTAAACTTTGTACAATCGAAAGTAGACATCGACTCTATGCTTATGGAATAATGTCAAAACAATGTATTGATTATCTTGTATTGACTATGATATTTGGCACCTTTGCCACTAGAATGGTAATAACCTTGTTCACAGAGTCATTAGGCCTTACATCTACAGTTTTACTACTTAAAATATACATTCTACAAGGTAAAATATTGCGGTACTTACAACGAGATTAAGGACGAGGCTCTTGACTCTCTCGCCGGTGTCTGGAGAGATGTCTTGGCCGAACTGAACCAAGGTGCTGAGGAACCTCTTGACCTTGCCCAGGGGACGACCCAGAGGGGTGGAGTCCGAGAGGGACACGGATAACGCGGGACCTGCAAACAAAGTCAAGATGCACTCGTGGAAAGAGGTACACTGAACGTGTAGAGAAAAAGAAACTGATTGAAAATTACCAGTTGGAAATATTACGTGGGAAATCAACGTGATTTAAGGTACTCGTATACATTCATTATTTACCACAATTTTCAAGAAGTTACAACTATTATTTTTAGTTTCAATTAATAATATTACGAGGTGGTGGTCTTCTATGCTGAGGGAGTAATTAGAAAATCACGGACTTGAGTTATGTCGCATCAGTTGCAAACATCAAAGTTGCAGATCTTGGACATAAGTTGCAACAGTTGCCAACTTGGACTATTAGTTCCAGTTTGTAGGCTTCACTCCTTGCCCAGCACTGATCTTTGCCGCATTTGCCGTACCTGTAAGTGGAGAATGATTTTCTAGAATATTGTGAGAGTTCTCATAGATTTGACATGTTGTTTTAGAATGCTTCAAGGCCAAGGGCACGGCAATAGTGAGTTTTGAGTTGTATGGCAAAAACGATCAGCTCTGTTAGGCTATATGTTAGACTTTATGGGTTATTTAAGGATGAGAAAGATGCATGGCTTGTTTTGTGTCTGTTCTTGTAGTTTTTTAAACTTTGGGTTTGCAGTTACTTAAAAATTGCAATGCTTCTAAGATTAAATTATAATTTAGTAAAACACCGTGCAAATACTAGGATGATTTCATGTGTAGGATGGATGGATTTAAAACTTATAAAGGCTAATAAGGAATCAAGGTAAGAACAGCTTACCTTACAAGACCGGAGTTATATTTTCACAATATCAAGGATAAAGATTTTCAAAATTTAGTTACCCGCTGAACTTGTTGCAAATGTACAGCTTTCAGTGACAATACCGTATGCTAATCTAAGTAACTTATTTTTTTGCCTGTTGATGAATGTATTTATTTTGAAATGAGTCGTAATCTGCAATCTATTTTTTGTTTGTTAATGTCATCTTGGGCCCATGCATTTATTGGTCTGTAAACAGTCCTTGCGTATAATTTGTAAATTGGCTGCTTGCCAACGAGATAAATAAATAATTTCAAACTATGATATCAGTCTAGGTACTCTTTGGACAAAACAAAACTTGTATAGGGCCAAAAACTATAAACTATCCAAACAATAACATATTATTATCAGCGGAATGTAACCTAATTATGCTGCAAATTTCACCATATTAGTGATAGTTCTACAAGACTTTCTGTGAATAACAGCTGTTGCATTTGAGAATGCCGCATATGTAAACCACCTGTTTTATAAATACCAACATGTTTTAAATTGCATCCAACTGCCACGGAATGTTTCCCATATCCCGTCTCATCAGTAGAGCGGCACAAAGAGTCGACCTCATTTCCGCCATTCCTGCTGATGACAAGTTAATTCCGCGGGAATATTCCAATTAACTCGCATTTCTGGAATTACTTGATGCATTGGCGATGTAATACGAAGGCGTTTACGAAAGAACGGAATCGAAGGATCGGATAAGGAGAGTTTGAGTTTCGTCGTCACGGCGGATTTTACATTGTAAATAACTGGGTTAGCGGATCAGCTGTGTATTGTAACGTGGTGGGTGATATGGGCAAAACTAGTAAAGGAAATATTTATTTTTGTAACTATTTACATATTTCCTACAGTTACTATAAAGCATATACATAAGTCTTTCAAACACTTTACAACATGTTTTTAGGTTATGTTAAATCCAAGCGTAGAACGGAATGAGAAACGCCGCACCAGCTGATCGTAGTCGTAGTGTTTAAGTCGTCAATCGCCTATCTTTAAGTGTTGCCAACTTTTTTCAAGCGTATTACGTGCCTAATAAAAGCACACTGTTGTTAATTGGTTGGAATACTTGTGGCAAAACAATTAGTGCGGAAAAAAACAAGTGCGGCAAAAGTAATAATGCATCAATTAGTTACTTGTCGTGCTATAATCATTGTAAGGAATTCACCTTTGACAGGTAACTGTAAGATAAAGAATTTGGATTTATGATATAAGAGCATGTAGTTCTGTCCAAAAGTGTAATTTGTTTTTAAAATTTCAACTCGGGTGTGGCTTTTTTATGGCTCTCCATGAATGGCGTTTCACGATAAAAAGTCAGTTCTACCAGAGAAACTCAACCTCTTTTATCTCCTTTTATCTCTTTTATCTCCTAAAGGTACTTGAAGGGTAAGGTGGTCTCCAAACCATCTTAGTCACAGTTAAAATTCATTGCTGATTGACGGGGTGTGAACCAGAACCTCAAGTCAATAAGTTCTGCTCTCTAAACACCCAGATGTAAAACAGTGTACTAATTGGCTTTTCCCTCTTTTTTTGGACTTGGATCAAAATTTGCCCAAAGAAGAGAAAAACTATGGGTCAAAGAGCTTCAGTAATTGAATAATGGGTGTATAGCAGATAAGGTTTGCTATAAACCTACAATATAGCCCAATGACTAAAATCTGTCAACTAGTCACTGGGATATGAAATAATTAATCTATTAAACAAAAACGTCGACTTTAGATAGTAACAAGACCAGGGTGTGGATAGTTCCCTTTCAAAACGTAAAATGCCATTAACGTAGAAATTACACAAAATAAAATAAATGTCAGTAGTTGAATTGATAAAGTGTACAAAAGGTACTCAAACAATAGTCTATAGTGACAATAGTAGGCCACTAAAAGTTGACTTTTAATGGGAAAACAATGAAACATATCTGTGAAATATTTAACGGGAATTTCACGATAACTTCTCTCTGGTCAAGCATAGATTCCGTAACACAAGTGATACAAGTTTTGGACATGTTGACCAATCGATGGGGACTCAGGTGGCGGAAAGTTGGAACAAATCCCGAGACAACTCACTACACTGTCTCGACAGAAGTCTGCAGTGCCTTCAGTGCTCAGCACCTAGCCATCAACAATCTGAGTCGTCAGCACGTAATGTTGATGTCATTTGTGTTGATAAATAGGACATTTGAATAACTTATTTTGAAATTGGGTAATCTCAGCAAAAATGATCAACAATTATGTTTAAAGTTAGTAGGTAGGCAGACGTTTATTATCTGCGTTTTACTATAGTTTTCCATTTCCGCAAGTGAAATAGTTATTCATTATGTATGTTTTATGTGAAAGGCATTCTCTATAATTTACGGGGACATTCAGATCATTAGGCCGAAATTATTTACAGGACATTGAGACTGACTGACAGAGTTGTAAAGGCATTTTTACCACCTACGTTACGATCCTCCCAAAATGTGATCCATTTCATAAATAGATGATTTATTGACTTTAAAAAACACCATTGCGAGGGGAGCATTAATTGTGCCAACTGACCTGAGTCAGGTAGTCGGGTATTCCTGAATTGCTCCAACTACTCCAGGGAGCCACCCGGTAAGTTCCCTAACTAAGCCACGTGGCGGTCGTCTTTGACTGTATAATTCAGTAGGTTAGGTTAGGTAGAGGTTAGGTTAGGTTAGGTTAGGTTAGGTTAGGTTTGGTTAGGATAGGTTAGGTTAGGATGACTCTTAAACAAGACATTCCTTCTGCCGGCAACCTACTCCTACCTGGCTTGGGCTTGGCGCAACTAAGGAACATTTTTTGGTACCCTTTGAGGGCTTGGAGCAATTAATGCACGACCGAATGCGAAACAAAGCCCTGGACAAAATTTCCATCCCTTATCGGTTTGAGTTCCAAATACAATAATCAATGGAATTACTTACTTGTTTGGCCGTTCTGAGAGTACAGCGGCGGCGTGGTGTTGCCGTTCTGGAAGGGAGGCTTGGGGCTGTTAGGCTGGCTGGTGGGGGTGGTGGTAGGTGTAGTGGGGGCCGGGGTGGGGGTGGCTACCAGCGGAGGCGAGCTGCGGACCCGCGCACCTTCCGGACTGTCTGGAGACTTGACTCTCTCCTTCACACCTGTAAAATTACCACATTGTAGACTAAATGTCATTAGAACACTAGAACACACTTCTGTTGTATTAATCTAAACCATTTAGCCTATACTTTGTAGTCCATACTAAAAATTCACAACTCATGTAATCTACTAAGACACATTTCGGCCGTTTCGATAATTTTTGATAAAATCGCTTTACAATTCATATAAAACAACCACTGTATCTATCGTAGCCCATACATTATGTGTTTGATGGAATTGTTGCGGGTCATGCAGGAATATGTTCTTTTAGCATCGGGATATGTCTATAGGAACCCACTTCTATATCCAGGGTATGGCTGTAGGAACGAGGAGGTTGGGCGTAAAAGAGGGAAAATTCATTTATCCATGCCAGCTTGAATTTCCTGGAACTCGAACGCTAAAATAATGTGATATTTGGCTACACCTTGTGGAGATCCAAGCGTTGACACCTGTATTTGGTTGAACAGCAGAGTTCAGGGGTTGGACCCTCGAACACAGGCATTGAACGAGTAGGAACTTTAGAGTGAAATAGAATTGTAGGCAAAATACCATCTTTGGGGTCTTGTGGGAGGCAATATTAACTGATTATGGGGATTTTATTATGATGCTTCACAGTCTTCAGGCTGTTATAAGACTGAAAGAGGCTTTAGGCCTTTTGGGAACCTCAATACAATGGTACACGGTTAGTTAGTCCGGAATATAACCTCGATTTTGTTCATAAACTAGAAATTATATTTTTGATACTAGATTTTGGGAGTAGGAAGCATAACTGCGGAATAAAATATGCTAACTACATTTAATCGTTAAAATAATATTAATTTCACCACAAAACAAAGCAATTAATCATATCCAGTTTATGGTTGACATTCAAGTTATGTTAAAAAGTTGAAGCCTCCAAAGACAAGCCCAACAACAAAGACCGATAATTGTGAAAACATTAAATACCTTCCAGTCCATTTCGAAGAGTCAACCCGTTCTAATTACTGGACAGTCAAATGAAATGTCACAACAATATAACTTCTTTCGGCTCTACCTGTGGGGGACAAGTGTATTAATTTTCATATCTCGCAGTGCGCGTCACAGACAAGACAGTGGTCAGACTGGGGGGGGGGGGGGGGCAATCATCCACTGGCCGGGGGCACAGGATTAAAGGATGTTGTAGTCAAAGAGGCCCCCTTGAGGGGGGAGGAGCCCCCCACGAGCCACTCTGAAGTGACCCGACCTCAACATCACTTGACATTACAAAGTGATCGCTCGCGGCAACTGTCAGTGCTGGCTTGTGATTGGTCCGACCGACTCGTTCTTACAGCTCATTGGCCGGCACGTCGGCCAATCAAAAGACCGCCGGTGGTTTTATATTTTAATTTATGCGTAGCGTGTCGCCTTAGGATCGCTTAGGAGAGTCAGAATGTTACTACTGTAGGTTAAACAGAAAGTATATTTTTTTGTTATACTATTTCTCTGGAAGACCGGTTTATGATTTTATTTTAATTCATTACTGAAAAAATTATAGTAATACATATCGCCATAGATAAAGTACAATTTGTCATTAGAAAAAGAATTTGTGTATTAGGATATTTTCTTGATGCTTATATACATTCTCATGCATACAAGGGTTAAGTACATTAAACTGGATCCCGTACAGTTATAAACAAAAAAATAAAAGCCATTTAAAGCTAAAACTGCAAATATTTGTATCGCCTTTTATAATAAATTGATGATCCTTTCAATACATCATACACTTTTCCCTCCAAAATTTAACGAACTTTAATAATTAATTGATTTTTGAATCTAGATGTAATCCATACTCCTTATAATTAATTTAAATGGTATGTCAGTATGGTTTAGAAGTTTGATAAATTAAATTTAAAATTTTAACCAGTTGTTGGTGTCATAACAGTTGAAACAGGTGCAGTTTTATTCACAAGAAAGTGTTAAATTTATCTTAATTAGTTTTCTTACCATGTATGAGCAAATAACTAACTCAAAAGCCCACCTCAACTTACTCTGTCCAATTTAATCCAATAAATATCAATTTTCATTTCAAACATTTTTATTTTGTTATATTTTAACGAATATTAGTAACTGTAGTTTTAAAATGTATATTTTTACAGTGCAGCAGATACAACGGCGCTGTCTAGCAATACAGGGCCAGGCGTGTGCTGCGGGTATAGCGTCGGCAGAATGCCACGGCGCGGCCCGCTAACACTGACTTGGCAGCCAATGTAAACAGAGTGTCTTGCAACCATATGAACAAACTTTGTCACGTTAATAAGCATGCCAAAAGAAACACAAATGTAAAATAACTTGTGTTCTATCTCATTCCGTTTTTGGTCTATCTGCATGTACGTGGTTTTTACAAAACATTCATTACATCTCCTTAACTGTTTGAGTTACAGCGTTGAAATTCTGTAAATATGTTTATCTTATTGACCAATCCTATTGTGCAAAATGAACACAAGCTCTTAACCAATTTTAAAATGGTGGGTTTTAAAAATATTTTTTGGCAAATTCCACAAAAGAACTTTAATTTTACTGTATTTGCAAGATATGTAAAATTTAGTAAATTTTTTGCAGATTACAACGATATCTCATAAGCTTAGTTTGTACAAATAATGACTGAGAAATTTATTTTTTTCTGCCATACATACGGTTTTCTCCATTTAAACGATGTTAAATTGATAAAACTACTTTTTAACATTGATTAAATGGAGAAAACTGAAGGTAAAATTATTCCTCAGTTATTCTCTGTCTAAACTAAGCTTATAAGATATCATTGTAATTTGCATGAAATATACTAGATTTTACCTTTCCTGCAAATATTTTGATTAACGGTTTTCATGGAATTTGGCGTTCAATATTTTGTAAAACCGCAATTTTTTACGTTTCAAGGGTTATTTTACACTAACAGTCAATAAGATAAACATTTTTACAGAATTTCCACGCTGTAGCTCAAGCAGTTAAATAGTTATGAACGCTTTTGTAAAAATCACATACATACAGATAGACCGAACACAGACTGAGATAGGCACATGTTATATTACATTCTTTGTTTCTTTTAGACATGCTGAATAACGTCACAAAGTTTGTTCATGTGGTTGCTGTCATTAGATTAAAATTATTAAATAATTATACAGAATTCATGAAAGGTTGTGTATCTCTATTTTAACAAAAACTCAATCCAAATATAAACAATAACACACAAAACATATGTTGAACAATTACCATATGTTATTGATATATTAACTACTACTGTCATCCCTCCTTCACAAGTCAAATTGATTTGGTTTTCTTCTAATCCTTTCCCCTCGTCTTACAACAGGAGTTGAATCATTGTTATGTAATTCTGACCTGGACAATTTACCTTTAATCACATCATGGGAGATTCTGAATGTCTTGTCTCTTCTTAGGAACCATGAGTTCCTTCGGTATTCTCGTCCATCACCAGTCTGGATTTTGTACGATCGAGGTTCAGGACCAACTTGAACAATCTTTGCCCTCAGCCAACACTTTGGTTTGAATCTAAAGAGCACTGGTTCATCGAGTTTAAATTGATCAGGCTCTGTTTTCCTCACATCACCGTACAGCTTCTCTCGTCTTTTAATTTTTTCTAGCTGTTTTGAAACATTCTTTATGACCATCGGAATAAGGTGGTTGTTTGTAGATGGAAGAAGAGTCTTTGTCCTCCTACTCATCAGCCGCTGAACCGGGGAACCTAGGTTACCTCTTGGTGTGTTACGGTGATGAAGAAGTGCAAGATAAATATCGGACTGTTCTTCTTGACACTTGAGGATCAAGTTTTTCCCTTCTTGGACATACCTCTCCGCTAGCCCGTTGGATCTTGGAAAATGAGGAGATGAAATTCTATGATTAAATTTCCATTCGGATACAAATTTAGTAAATTCCATAGAAGCAAAACATGGCCCTCCATCAGTTCTTAGTTCATCTGGAATACCATGAGTTGCAAAGTACTTTTTTAGGTGTGTAATAACAGTAATGCTACTTTTGTTCCTTAGATTTTCACACTCAAAATATCCTGAGTAACTATCAGCAACTACTAAGAAGTCTTTACCTCCACATTCAAAAACATCAGCTCCGATGAACTGCCATGGCCTCACTGGTACTGTTTCTTGAAGGATCACATCTTGAGGTTTATCTCGTTGATATTTGCTGCATACATTGCACCTTGCTACATATTGTTCAATATCTCTTTCCATATTAATCCAATATACATAGTCACGTCCTGTATTAATTGAACTTTGAACACATTTGTGAGGACGGTGAATATTCTGTAACACTTCATGTTTCATTTCATCAGGTATAATCAAACGGCTTCCTTTAAACAAAAGACCATCATAGCAACTTAGTTCTTCTCTGAAAGTGAAATATTTTACCAAGTCCTTGTCAACAGTGCTTCTTTCTTCGGGCCATCCATTCAAGATCATTTCCTTCAACTTAGAAAGCTCTGTGCATTTTCCAACACTAGTTCTGATTCGAGAAACTGTATCAGAAGACATGGGAATTATCAACTGAATATCAAAGCTGTGAGGTTCATCATCTTGATTGTCATTGTAGCAATCTCTACTCAAGGTATCGGCCAGATGAAGCTCACAACCCCGCTTGTACACAACTTTTGGTCGATATGGTAATATTTCCAAACACATTCTTTGGATTCTGGGAGGAGCATCAGACAACGGTTTCTTAAAGATAGCCTCCAAAGGCTTATGATCTGATTCAATTATCAACTCCTTGCATCCCCATACATACTCATGAAACCTTTTGCAAGCAGTCAGTATTGCGAATGTCTCTTTTTCAAGTTGACTGTAGTTCTGTTGTGATTGAGTCAATGCTTTGGAATTATAAGCTACGGGCTGCCCAGATTGTAACATAACAGCACCTACTGCATAACTGCTTGAATCCACAGATAGAGTCACAGGAGAGTTGGGGTCATAGTAACGAAGCACAGGAGTTCTTTGCAGTTTTTGCTTTAACTTGTTAAATG